ATTTTCTGCAAATTTCGAGACCGAGGTTTCGAGCTACCCGGATCCCCAAATTTTCCAAAAATCTAGAAGACTGGGCCTAGCCCGAGACCACCGAAGAGGCCCCGCCCTCTTAAAGCTGCAGCAAATTTGGGGTCCTGGGTAGGCCGAACCGGCTCGCGCGCCGTAGTCTGTAGATTTCTCCAAAATTTTGAAGCCTAGGCGCCCCGAAGCGTGCTGCACCGCATAGAGCGCGTGTAGCCGTAGCGCTTTATAGAGTAGATATTTTATAATGAATATAGTCTTGTCAACCAACATTCAATTTTGATTTTGAGAGCTGCAAACCTTGGCCATAGTCCTGCAAGCGTTCTCGCAACCACTGACAATTGACTTGGCGTCAGTTCCCTTGCTCGGCAACGCAATGCAACAACCAATGCTGGGAACGGGCTTTCCCGTATGCCAAGCATACCACAGGTCCAAAGGAGCAGACAAAGGCTCGCGTTTGGAAAAGAATTCAGGTTCTTCAAGTTCAACCCGGAATTGCCAAGCAGGGGCAAAGCGGCGGGCCTGTGACCCAACACTGCCAGCGCCCATACCGTGATAGACAAACTTTGCTCGTCCAGTCGAGCGAAAGATGCTATTCTAGCACAAACTCTGCGGACAAACTCCTGCGGCTCCCCACTCCAGCGACTTCTCGCAATCGCCCACAAGGAGTTCGCACACTCCTGCGCCTAAGTCGTTTTGTCTAGCTAGCTGGACGACACTTGCACAGAGACCCACAAAAAATCAATGCGCCAAGAGACAGAAAAGAGGTGCACAGGAATTGCATCGGGATCTTCTGCGATCCGGTTAAAGAGGGAGACCGCGGACGGTCCCAGGTATCCAATGTTTGCGACAGCCCAAAGCGAATTGGCGATATCCTGCAACCAGATCGAAACGCCGACATGCTTATCCAAACATGTTGAGAAAGGCGCATTCCCTGTGGGCACCTGCCCGTTGCAACTCGAAAGCTTTCTGACAATCTCCTCGCACAAGCGGCACACACTGTACTAGATGCCGGGTGCGTGGAAACCCTGCTACGCCTAGCCAAGCACGGCGGGTTGCAAATCTGGTTTGTTGTGACATCTGTCTTAAGCAAGAATAAGCCTCCAGCAGGGCTTCAATGACGGCATGGTTCTCTTGCCGCCCTGCGGAGATACACTCTTTCGCACTGATACTCTCATAGATACCAAGACTTGAATGAAGGCCTTGGCCTTCATTCGTTGAAGATGGTGACAACGACCCAACATCCTTTGATTCAAGTCGCAGTCTTACGTCCGCAACACCGACGAGGCTTTGATACTCGTTACTAGGTGTCCGGCACGAATCTCTTCGACGATCTTCGCTGCGACATCTTGATCTATCTTTGCCAGAGTGGACAACGACCAGAGGATGTTTGCCGCACCCTGCGTTGTCAGCCTTCTGGCATTACTAACCACATGCGGAGCACACGCTGCTGTGAGTGCAGTGCTCGGCATGTCAATTCCCTTCGAGGCCAAAGTTGCTGTTCCCCAGAACAGCATGGAGAAACCCTGCGGAGAAAATTCCGATGACCGCTCGGCTGCATGAGCTGCAATCTGCTTCAGAAAGAGCCTTCCCTTTTCCCTGGGCATCAAGTGAGTTGCCAAAGTTGCTCCGGCCCATACCGTCGCGGCTATGTCATGGTCGCCAAACGTAGGGAGCATGTGCGGAGAAGCGTGGTGACTGGCCAGGTTTTCCAAGACTTCCAAACCAAGCTGAGAGTGCGAAGAGCGCGCAAATGCCCATAATAGCTGTGAGATGTCCCGAGGGTTCAACCACCGACTCTGCTCCTCCGACTGCGCAGCGGCTGCGACTTCGAAGAGCCTGCGAGCCTGCACCTTTGCAGCTGCAGCAGACCAAGCCAGGTTTGCAAGGTGACGAACAGACATGCTCTGGTCTTTTTCGTTCAAGAGCAGAGCATTTCGAAAAACTGCTTTCAGGAAATCCTTCCTCCCACCTGGATCTTTCTTTAACTTCGAGATGGCGACAGCAACGACTGCCAGCTCCCTATATCCGAGATCTTGGAGGCTTGAGTCAGCCATGCCAAGGAGCAGTGCCCAGCTTTCGCGGCTGGGCTTCCCCCGCATCTCAAGGAGGCTCAAACGCTGAACTGCGGCTGCCCACAGTACGCCATCCATCCTCTGCGATTCGAGCGCTGTATTTACAAGGCCGATGACATCGGATGCCTTGTGACAATGACGTAGTTTCGCAGTGAGTTGACCGGCCGAGGATTGCAGTTGTCTTCTGCAAATCAGCATGCAGCCACCGAAACGGCGCGTGAATGATGGTCGCAAGACAACGGCAATGCGCAGCATGTCTTGAGTGAAACTAAGCCACGATCAGGCACCAAAGATCTAACTGCGAGACCTACTAAAGTGCTCTGCTGGTGCCTTGACAGAGACAGCCATGAGGGGGAAGCTTTCTATCACTATGACCAAGGACAAAGTGAAGCCATGTGCCACGAAAAGCGACCACCCTGCTCCCTCCTGTTCAAGCGTCTGGGTGCCTTGTCCTCGGAGGTTCGAAGTACATTCAGATCAGCAGACCCCATAAGGAACCGTCCTAAACGCTGATCACAATCAGGCACAAAATAGGAAGATTCGGAAATTTCAATTCTGGACAAGATTGTACGAGCAGAACTACTCGCCCGATTCTGTCACCAAAAATCCTGGCACTCAGGGGATGGGTCCAGCTCAAAGGAAAAGGGAATGGTTGAGGTCTTAGCTCAAGGCTGAATTTAATGGAAAAGCAGAGCATGTGCCAACTGGCACCGGCCGGACTTCAGGGGGCTGAGGCCTCTGCTTAGGGAAGGATGCTCAGACAAGTCTGAAACGAAACCGGCTTCGAGCACCGGCTTTTCCTCTTCGCACAAACATATTGGGTTCCTCGTTCCTGGCTCGTGGGTGTAAGCCTCTTGGCGCTCAAGGTCCAGACTGTAGGCGTGATGGATGCTCGGCTCTGGGCAAATGTTATAGACCAGAAAATGCGTGACAAAGGCCATGAAGTCGCGGGCAGTCGAGCCGTGCAGGGGATGGAGCCCGGGACGCCAGCTGCAATCTTGGTCTTCTCGAGCCTGCTCTTGTTCCACTTGTTGGTCTCTGCTTGTGAAGCTCCAACTATTTTCACCAGGAGCTGCGCAACGAAGGCGCAGGTGCCGTTGGGAAGTCTTGGCCATGCCACATGTTCACGCAGACTGAAGACGGAATGGAAAACATCGCAGCGCACTGGGGTCATCGAGCACTAGTGATGCAATCACCGTCATCATTAACCGTGGGCAGCGATACAGTCAACTCGCGGCTGTCGCTGCCTCCTGCAAACGAGGCGCCAACGCAACCCTATCGGGATGCATCCGTCTCTCTGCTTTAGAGCGTCCTGAATACAAAGCTCGGACTCGGAACAGGTAGGCTGCCAGGATCAGGAAAGTCGTGGCAAGTAGCCGAAGCCACGCCTGCCAGTGGCCTGAGCCCGAGCATCGCTTTTCAGAGTCCAAGTGCAGCTTCTCGGATGTCCTAACTGAGGCCACTGCACTGGGAAAGCATGTAGCCGTTGATTGTCAGTCCAAGCAGAGGCACCCAAGGGCAGCCAGGACAAGCAAATGTTTCTGGTCTGGAATAGCTTCGTTGGAAAAACGGAATCCAACACAAAGCGACCTCAGCTTGCAAAAGGCGAGGTTGGGGACAGAGGCACTCTTCCCAAGTGCAGGCTGGTTGCTGCAACTGCGAAGACGCAGGTGCTGATGAGAGCCCACCAACTCTGCGAACTGTCATGAGCATAGCCAGCAAAGCTGAGACATCAAGACACCAAACCAAGAATGATATAAGCGAGCTCCGAAGGGCATGAAGGTGGAGCTCGCAGATGCCACAATAGCAGCGCAGGTCCTGGGGTGTTTTTTGTACATATTTGTGTGCCCGATCCCAGTGCGCTTCTGTCAGTGCCACACGAGGCTCCGCCTTCTTGAAATTTTATGCTTTGCGGCACACTGCTGTCTCTGGAAAAATAAAACATACAAGACATGTCTGCGATGCTTGGTTGTCCGGGCAAAGAGGCTTGTCGGAAACAGAAACAGGAACAGCTTTCGAACTGTAGGACTGGACAAGCGTCATCATAGCGGCCCACTGGGCGGCTTTCTCTGGGGCATCCGCGCGAAGCACGAGTACCCCAGCACAAACCTCATCGAGAAACACACTGTCACACCTTTTTTGTTGACTGGTTTCCTAAATCTCGTTGGCATTCCTATGCAACTGGCTGGAACTCCAAGCAGCGATTGTGTATGAGAACAACACGCCGATGTTTAGAAAGAGGACCAGTCGTTGCACCTCATGAGCCAGGACTACCCAGAAGTTTGATTTCCGTTCGTATCGGACAAGATATGGCACTCAGCGGAACGAAAGCGAATCAGACAAGGCTCGGGGAGGAACACTGCCAGCAGCGCTGCTATGACTCCACAGAGGACTTGAGAGTTGATAGGGGTCCCAAGAGTCGACACTCGACCTCAGGCTGCAAACCTAATTTTCACTGAAGCTTTTCGTTTCCGTCAGAGGTGTCTGGGCATGTCTAGAATCCTTTGCGGTCGAGCTGCCGAAAAGCGAGAAGAAAAGGCCCTGCTTGCAATCTGCGATGGCATTCGATATGAACGGAGGCACTCAGTTTAGCCAAGGCGCATCTCGTGCCATAGCAAGATACATGCGAGCCTTCACTGGCACAACATCGACATTATGTCCAGACTTTGTTGAACAACCAAGTAGGCGCTTTTTCAATAAATACATCATAGAGGCTACAGTAGAAAGAAAAGTCTGAACCCTAGCAGGGTGTTGCTTGGGCTCTTCCGCGTGGTTTCCGAGTCCCCCAATTCCCGCCAGCTTCAAAGCGCTCGTGTCTAAAGCCCTGGCAGGGCCACACCTTTCGGCTTCTGGGTCTCTGGTTGTTGTTGCTGTCTACCAGCCATCACATGGAGCGTTGGAGGATCAGGCACAGTATGGACTCCACAGGCCTGTGAATACATTCCCGTCACCAGTGTTGTGAACAAGCCGATGACTGCGCCCCAGTTGACAAGCATGGACACCTCAGAAACAGCACAAGGAGGCCGACAAAGGCTTATTCAAATGTGAGGCTCCAACCCAAGGGATGTTGGCATACTGTGGGCTGAAGGCGGCTTCCACCGGCGCCGCCTGCAAAACACGAGTAGGGAAAGACTTAAACACGAGTCTTTGCCACCGGGTGGCGAACCAGAGCATTTGCGGCAGTAGCACCCTTGTGCAGAACGACGCACCACCTGCCTCATCTATTTCTGTGTAAGGAATGATGCCCACCTCAGTTGCATTTCCAGGGCCCCTAGCACATCCCCACAACTCGCAATAAGGACACCACCAGCACTAGCGAGAAGAAGATGTACCTCAAAAAGCGTGCCCAACTGATCAACAGCTCTCATCGAAGGACTGGAACTGGACTGCTTCCGAGGCTCAGGAGCGCACCTGAGCTTGCGGCAAAGAGTGGCTTCTATGCACTTCTGTCTCTTTATGCGCAAATGCGTGCAAGTGGCAGATAAGCAGGGAAGCTGTTATGCCAATCGGAAGATCTCGCTGAGGATTTTGGCACTCTTCGGCAGCATTTGTTACAGTTCCAAATCCTGCTGACACAAAACAACAATAGCCATCAACGGCTCACGAAGAACATAGAGTCAGAAAGCTCGCAGGTTTGATGCCGTGGAAGCTGGCGGATCAATCGCAGCCGAGAATACAGAAGTGCCTGTCCTATGAAGGAGAATGAACATGTCGCAGACCTGCTGGCATGCTCAAACCATTAACTTAAGCTTGCAGTCAGACCGTCTTTTCTCAAACAGTCTCCTGACACTTTCTTTCCTGCTTTGGCTCCGCCTGAGGGCGCGACATACTGGCCACCGGCCCGAACCCACACCTTGGTGCAACGAAACGGAACGGTCCACAAGAGTACGAGACTACCCTAGGTAAGCAATCTGCGGGAAGAACGGGCTCAGATTGTCTGCTCGTACCTATGCAGACCGAGCTGCAAAAACGACTCAGACATTGCACAAATGCAGCTCTTTCGACACCTTGGTCGAGCCAATGCCGATGATCAGCAACACAATGACCATCTTACCTTCATCGCAGGAGCACTAGACACAAGCCGCATGAGTTTCCCAGCACCCGTCATGATGTGCCATGCTGGATGACAAGCTGCAGTCAGGCCGGGCACAACACACTACAGTAGACCATAACAGAGCTGCCATCGAGGCGCTAAAAACCAGCAAGCCATTCACCCGCTTCAACCCGCTTTCCACGCCAACAGATAAGATGCCTCAGTGCCGGAAAAAGGTGCAAACGTCACGGCACTGCCCGATCCAGCAGAGCCGCCTGTCAGGACCACCACCAGAACAAGTGAAAGCACCTGACAAGGCCCAAGGAAGAGCGAGAGCCATAGAAGACGGAGCGAAGACGGAACAGAAGGGTAGCGGAGCGGAGTGACGGAGTTCGCCATGCCGAGCCTGGGTCTCTGGAAGCCACATGGCCGGGAACATCAGCAGAAGCCTCACTGCGACTTATCACCCCGAAATCATGCCGTCGTTGCTAGCGGGTGTCGCATACACTCAAAGGGGTGTGTTGATGGCCAGTTGAGGGACGGATGCAACCCGGAAGTGTCTTCATATGTCTTCATCATGACACAACAGTCGTGCTGTGCAGCTCCACGTGGGGTCTCGCGCGAAGTTTCGTGTGCTTTTCCTGGACAGTAAACTACGACAAAGCTTTTCCTGGATCGCATACTAGCAGCGTCTTGCGAAGGTAGGAAGCACAAGAAGACACGCCAATTGCCGCACCAACATGGTAGTCGACCAACACATTCCTGTGCAATGCAGCACATGCAGAACGAGAACAGGCTGATGAGCTCTCATACGAAAGCAGCTTTGAAACCAAGTCGCAAGCCAAAGAGCACGGCCAAGAATTCACCAAACGCAACGTATGCATAGAGGTAGACAGAGCCTGACCTACGGCCACCGTGTGCACGAACATAATTTCGCACTCTCTGGCTTCCCCAAGCAGTGCTGCCAAGCAGCACAGGTATGCGTGCAGCCAGCTCTGCGTAACACAAGGCACTGAAGATGCCTCCAGCTTCAGCGGTGATATGCTCATGTGTCGTCTAAGTGTTTTACCAAGGAGCAACTGACTGCAGCGATGAGGAACGAAAAGCCTTGGGACAGTAACCAAGACAGTTCGCACGTTTCTTGCATCTGTGTGCCACTCGAAAGGACGACAAGTCTTGTGCAGCGTAGCTGCACACTGCAGGCCCTGTGGGTTTTGCAGCAATGCCGGTAATCACGAAGATGCCTGGACCAACTAAGGCAGGCAGCAGCGTAATCCCGCTTCAGGCAAAGCACAGACTGCTCACAGGCACTGCCTGAACCAATGCTGGAACCAATTCCTGGGAAGACACAAGAAAGAGTTTGTACATCTCAACTCCGAGAATGGCAGAAATAGCCTGCGGCTTAGAGGATGTAAATGTAAGAGGAGCTCACTGCAGCTGGGGTGCCTATCATTGTCAAATCCACGCTAGTCAAGCGTCGGCGGAGAGAGCCGGCATCAGACCTGGTTATTCAATGTTATTCACGGCCTACGTTGCAGCTTTTTTGATCACGCTCCAAGTGCCAGCGACAGATCCCAGCCTCAACTGGCTTTCAACGGGCCGCTGACGAAAAGCAACCGCCCAGAAGCCTGGCAGCCAAACTCGCCAAACCAGGCCTTCCTGATAAACCAAGCCCTGCCTGGCATGAGATCGCGGCAAGACATGGCTCAAGATGGGCACGTAAGCAGAGCCGTGCAAACGGCAAATTTCTTGGCTTAATGCGTGTGTGCGTGTGTGACGCGTGTGCATGTGAATTGCTGGGAAGCTTGCTGCAAATCATGTCCCTGCTTGAATGCCACATGGCTCGCCTGGACGAAGGAACATGATGAGCATAATGCGTTCCCGATTCCTCCCTTGCCAGAGCCCTCCGCTGAGCTGGTATTCGTTCATGTCGAACAATTTTGAAGGCCGAGCATCTTGCAAAGGAGGCTAGGTGATGAGATCATGAGGTGCACTGTCTGGATTTTTCGCCAAATGCTGTTGCACTGTACGAAACTTGCTGCCGGGGTCAAGCCGGCAGCAAAAGGGGTGAAATCGTGACATCTAGACCTAGAAACTATCTTACAGTGGACAGGCCGCAAGCGCTGCCACCAGACTCCGCACCGCACCTGATTTGTCGAAGAGAGGTCCGAAGTTGCGTTCTGAATTTCTACTGCTGCCTCATGCTTTGCAATTTCAACACCAATGACTCTGTTTGCCGCCGCATAACATTCGGCGTGAGATTGCCGAGATCAGACCTCCGCAGGCAGTTTGAACAGCAGGTGAGAAATCAATCATCCTTGACAGGCTGGGCTGCCACGCCGGAAAGGCTTCATGGCAAATGCTTGGCGAGGCATTCATGACTGGCCCTTCAAGAACTTGACGATCCTGCCGAAGTCTGAAAACTGGTCATGAACTTGGACAGGGGTCACCATTGAACCTCGGCACTCCTCTTGCGGAACTAGTCCCCCTTGCCAGTCGAAACATGGCAGCAAGCTCACTCTGCGCCTTTTTTTCATCTCCTGATCTGGTTGACACTCCTCCAAGCGCAGTGGCTTTTGGGTGATCGGACACACCTTGGCAGCGGAGCTCAAACACAGGCAGAACTCTGTACTGTACAACCGCGTCTGAGCATGGTGCAGATCCGCAGTTTCCAAACCACTTCTCCAGCGTCTTCCTCTCGAAATGATGTCCATAACGAGAAAGCACCTGCCAAGTTCCAAGAGTGCCGTGCATGATCCCAGCTGAGATGAGAACAGGTAGGCGCACCGGATTCACCATGACTTTCCCATCTATCGCACATCGCATGTCCTGGCTGACAGCTGCCCAGTGATGTGGCAGGTGCAGGCTACAAGTAGTTGCTTGGCATTGCACCTCTGGACAGTCAACAACAGATCTGGATTCTATCCGGATCTTGGCCTTGTCCTGCACGTTCGGGGAACGTGCAGAGCAGCTACTGGTTGTGGCAGGCGGTGGCCTTTCTCTTGCTCTCCGTCGTATCAGTCTTGGAAAGTGTAGGCAAGTCCTTGGAGGATCGGCTGCAGTGCCGGTTTTAAAAGCAGGGCACACTTGTGGCACATAAACTAAGGCCCAGTAGCTCCCAGCAAGGAAGGTCCCGTCTCGACCTCAGGCACAGCCGCCGCTAAGAACTGCCTGAGAGCTGCTGCCCCCCTCTGCTGGGGCCCTTGCGGGCTTTGTGGGAGGTGGTGCCGGCACATCGGGATCAGCGGCCCGGACCTTTCAAGCCACGCGACGAGAAAAGCGCGTTTTTTGCAACCAAGACTTCAAGATGCTGAGGGATGCCTCTGGCCCTGCTCCGTCGATGGCTTCGGGAGCCACTTGGGTGACGGACAGCATCTGCAGCTGGTATCCCTGCCATCATGGATTCGCACAGAGCTGGCAAAGAGATGCAAAGAGCACATCTACCGGCTTGTTGCGCTCCTGGATAAAGTTAGCTATATCTTCACGATCCACCACCTCGTCCATGGCCTGCGGAAGCAGAAGCTCGCACGCTCGCAAGGAGGACTAGGACTACACAGGGCCCGGGACCAAAGGCGCTCCAGTGAGGGGATTCGAGCCATGCTGGCTCGTCCAGTCCTCCAAAAAACACGGAGGCAATTCAAACCTCCTGCGTCAGTTTTGCATCCCACGTCCTCCAAGGCAGCCCTCTCAAAGAGGTACCCATCTGGAGTGCTAACAGGGTCGTGCATGAGGGCACCTCGCATCAAGAGGTCGGGTGACGTGTCAAACCGCGGGAGCAGAGGAAGGGGAGTGATTGCAGGACTGGAAAACTTCAAGCAGACCATTTACTGCTGCCGCTGCTGCTCCGACTGCCACCACGACACCAACACCGCGGACAGTGAAGACAAGTTGGTCGCTCCACACTGGAGAGGAGAGTGAAGAGCAATCCAGGAGCCCTGCCACTTAGCTGGCAGACGGCTTTCTGCGGAACGCCGGCCTGAACCGTGAGCCGCGCTTGGCTGGGACAGAGTCAGTCGGACATGGACTGTCGTGTGTTTTCTGCTCTTTTGGACCTCATCAGCTGTGCCAAGGCTCGCTTCCCATCCATCGCCAGGAATCTGGCCGCCGCATTCCAAAGCCAGGGTCTCTTACCAAGACGGTGGAACTCAGGCCGCGACCAGCGGAGGCATGTCGTCTTCGGACTCCTTGAGAATGCAAGAGGCTCACCAAGCCCTGTTTCCGGCGAATCGCGTCTCCTCGCCCTGCTCGTCGTCGGCTTCGGGCTCTTCCCCGTTCTTGCTCGATGCCTCCAGTGCGGTGAGATGAACTCAACATGACAGAAACGCTGAGACGTATACTTTCTCTCGCTGCCGTCGCTGCCTGCATGGAGAAGAGCTTCTTCCTCCTTCTCGCCTTTACGAGAAGTCGCGCTGCTGCTGCAATACAGGAAACGTTTCATCACCGCTGCCTTGTTCTTGGCATTCCGCCATTTGCGCTGCTTGGTGGAATGATTGGCAGCAGCTGCTTCTGGTGAGGCCTCACAATTCAATTCGCACATGGCAGGACGCAAAGGAGGAAGGCCGTTGGCGGCGTGGGGCCTCTGGGGCACCGAAAGCAAACGAGAGCAGCTCGACAGCCTGAAGGGGAGCTTGTACAATGAGGCGAATGATTGGCTCAGTTCCCTCGCCTTGACAGACGATCTCGAGAAGGGCAAGCGCGTGCTCTGCTCGCAAGTCATCCGTCTTTGCAGTCGAGCCTTCAGATTGCCCAGCATGCAGGTCCCCAAAGCATGCGAATGCCGTCGTTCCTGACTCTCCGCCGGTAGTTGATCGAAGGCTGCCTGCATGCATCTCGTACACTAGCGAACTTCTTTCATGGGCATGCAGGAGAGATGATGTTCGCATCGCTGCACCTGGAGAGTCTCAGTGAGCTTGTCGCAAAACCTTGGCCAACCAAGACTGACGACTAACTGCAGCCAGACCAGTGTGGCACAGCTGGGGGCAAGACGGACCCTTTGGATAGTCCACATTGATTGCCGTTTTGACCTCGAGCACCAGCCCAGGGGTGCTCTGTGCTTACGCAACATGGCGTATGGCAGAGACCAGAAGCTCCAGCATGGAGATGTGAGTCAGGATGCGAGGCACCTTCGCAAGCAGGATGCTGGCCGCCATGCAGCCCTGCATAGCCCTGCAAGACAGAGCCTCGCAAATCTTTGGGATCATGTCCGAGTCCCGCAAGTGGGGTCGAAAGACCTTAAGAGACAGAACGGCCAAACGTTTCAGAGGCTATCAGCAGACTCGCCGCTGTGGGTCGAACATTGATGTTGAAGGTGACGACAACAAACGTCTGCAATGTTGCCTGCAGCCCACCCCTCTGAAAACTGCCTCGGCCTAAGCGCCTAAGAATCAATACCAGGAGCTCTCGAGCGCCTTCAGGTTCTGCCACTCGATGAGCGCAGGGCCACACTGACAGGCAACGCCAGCAACTGCAAGAACAACGATGCCGACTGACAGTTCCTGCAGAACATCTGAGCGCAGGGCTGCAGGATTGTCAAACAGCGCTGGCAGAATGTTGTATACGTAGGGGATCATGATGTCCTTGGGTCTTCGGCTCTCTGCCGTCTCTGGCTCTGCACGTCCGCACCAATCGGCCTGAACGATGGTGCTCTGCGTCGCAAGGTGCTGCCTTGCAGTTTCGGAGGCTCTGGGATATCCGAGAAGCTACAAGATCCCAACCTGAGCTTCTTCTGGTTGGCGGAGCAGTAGAGAAGGCAGTTGTGGATCTCGGTGCAATAAGCTCAGTCGGCGCTTCGTCCAGACCGCATCCAGACAGTCGAGCAGGAGCCCGCGGTCCGCGGTGCAGCCCAAGATTTTCGATCGCACTTAAAATGCTGGGTCGATGTCGCAAGCCGCGAAACGGCGCACGAAAGCCTGTGTACACGACCAGAGCCAGAAGACTCCGGCAAAGCAGATGGACCTGTCGTTTGAGTTCCTCGATACAAAGCGACTGGTCCTCTCCTCTCACATAAACAAAGCCTTTCCAGAGCCCAAGACTGTCGTGGAACAACTCAAGCGGAGAAACCCCGCAGTTTGTTGTTAGACTACGGCTCAGGGACAGCCTGGGGCCGGAGGAAGGGCAAGGACTCCGTGGCCCACGAGCTTGTCACACTGTTGGCCAAGCTCGACTGGCACCTCCTCTCGGACTCGTTTGCCAGGGCCTGCTATATACAGGATTCTGAGGGTAAGAAGCTCCCAACAGAAGCGAAACAGTGAGACGTCATCAAAGCAACTTCGGCGCATGCTTATGGAACGTGCACCGCTCTGTTTCGGTGCACTGTGCAATTGGCCAATGATCTAGCCACAACTCATGCCTTCGACTGCATAGATTCTGGCAGCCAATCAGGCGGAGATAACAATGCAACGACTCTGCAGGATTTCAATACGATGCGACATGAGTAGCAGATGTTGAGCTAAGCGTATGTAATGTAATGCCTTTAAGGAGACGGAGCAATAAACTAAACTTCAGGCTTCTCGGCTTCTGAACGAAGCGAAAGAACTTGCAGCAAGCTGAAACAACTCAAGCACCAGCCGATGTCGGTTTATTGGCGCAACTTGCTTGCAGTTTGGAGGTCGTCTTCGCCGTGTGCGAAGTTGCAAGAGTCGCCAAACCTCAGCCCCCGCGAATTGAGTTGACGCATGCCAGATGCCACAAACACAATGGCTGAAGGTCATTCTGATACTTATTCTAACTTCGTTCCCTGCTATGCTGATTCATGGCCACTTGCAGAATCTTGCAGAAGAGCAGCCAGCAAACCCCTGTCCCCATGAAGTGTCGGCAAAGCTGCGACTTGCGCAGGAGGACCTGTGACAGGGGGTGTGTCAAGTCGGTGATGCCCATGATGCGTTTCTCTGACGCCTCCGGTGGCAGGTAGACCTTCTTGTCCCTCAGCTCCTCCTCCCCGTGCGCGAACATGCAGCTCTCACCACGCCAACCTTGCGAGCTTGCACCAAGCTTCGACACCTTCCTATGCCCTCGCAGATCTCAGCTCCAGGCAGTGGCCCTGCTGGAAATGCCGACAAAGCATGGTCTTGCGCAGTCCCTTGCAAGTCGGTTGGGTCTGCAACTCCTCCTTGCCATGAGCAAAGGTACACCTGAGCAGCGAACCCTTAGGCTGTTGAGGCTACAAACTAAAATGAAAAAAACCTGTCTGAGTGGCACAACAACAGAAGTAACTCTTGGTTTTCGCTACCTGCTTTTGTGATGCCGTGGCACTTGGCACCCAATCTGCAGGTGCCAAGCCTCTCGAAGTGTCGGCAGAGCACGACTTTTGTGACCCCTGGTGGCGCCAGCTTTGCAGCTTCAGTCTGTGCATCTTGTTGCCACTTCGTCTGCGCTTCCTTCGCGTGTTTAGGAGCTTTGTCCGCTTGTTTTGCAGGCACTGGCTGGAGATCGTCTGGCACAGCTCCGATTCGCGCTTCCACAACCTTCCTCCCTGCCAGATCCACAGTCATGTTTCGCATTGCCTGCGGATTCGGGGGGTTCGATTTGGAACAAGACTTGGATATGTCGTTCGACGGCTCTGTCGCGATGGAGGAGCAAAATAGCGTCACTGGCATCGGCTCTAAGCGAGCCTTGATAAAGGCAGCTGCTCCATCCACGCACTTATGCATGTGCTCCTTGTACTCCAGGAGAGGACCGACCCACACGCACGCTCCACCATGCTCCTTAACATTCTTGGAGCAGGCAGTTGTGAAGTAGAGGTGTGGCACAGGTTCTGCATGCTACGACAACTGTCCTAGAGCTTTTCGTGTACTGTCCAGGCTCCAGGTGGTTGGCACATCGCACTTTCTGGGTACTGTAGAGGCGCCAAAGGATGCTTCCGGAGCCTTCGGGCTCCAAGGCCTTCACGTCCTCGCGCTTCAAAGGCCTCATGCAAGCTGGGCATGGCACCTCGGACGTTCCGCTCGGCTGAGGCGCTGCGCTCAAGTACTGGAAAGCTTCTTGCCAGGTCATAAGCCCAAGGTGCTGAGGGCAAGGGCTTCTCTGCGCCGTCGCGCTGGTATTCTACCCATTGGGAAAAACACGGCCCGCAAAACAAGTGTGAGCAACAGGTCACGACCTTAGCTGATCAGCAAGTCCACGGCACATCTCCGGCAGTTATGGTAGAAGCACAGACAGCTGAGCTGAGCGCTGGCTGGTGCATGACTTCTGTACCTTATCAATTTTTTGTTGGGAAGCCATTCAAGATGGAATGCGACTCCCTGGCAGGTATCTGCATCCAAGTTGCAAATCTTACCTCGTCAGGCAAACAGCTGGCAGACATTGCAAAGCAGGCCCAAAGGCACGAGAGAGTTAAAACTGATGCGGGAACTGGTTTCTGCCACTTGCCCCCTGCCCCCTTCTGCAACTGGTGTCTGCCATGTCCACGTCTCCAACATTTTCGGCAAGTTGGTGCAAGCGGGTCCGGTGGTGGAGGAGGCCGAACACACCCAAAACCGATCATGTCGGAACCCGGGTGGTTCGCTCGTGTTGCAGGCTGGCAACACTAACCACCACTGTCCCCCATAGGAGCAGCACCAACATCACGATCGACGTCACCATCGCCGTGCCATGCACATGCCCGTGCCCATGAGCATCACCATCATCGGAATCATCGCCATCATCATCATGACCATAACTTCTGATCATGATCAAAAACATCGTCATCGTCACAGCAGCGATGACGCGGAAGCGTCAGTATCACCAGCATCGACACAAAAAGTAAGCAGCATTGGAGAGCATGTCTACTGTGCATGCACCTTCGTCATCAGGAGGCATCACAATTATACAGATCACGTCCCCGACAAAGCTGTTATGTTCGAGCACTTGCAGCAAAGAAGGGGCAGGCTTCGCAGGAAGACAGTCAGTCAAATCGTACAGTAATACACCTGCACATGTTCACGCTCGTCGAGACAAAAAATCATTGCCGAGACTGTGACATTCATAAATCTCGCTTCGCTGAAGCGACTTGCTTCAGGCCCCCCTCCGATCACCAAACATCACCGACAGCTCAGAAAATCAAAGCTGCACCGTTTCGGACATCAAGTGGTGCAGAACCTATCAGTTCCAGCAGAGACCAGCGGGCAAGTAAGTCGGATGACACACACATTCTGGCATCTTCTTTACGGTCTGTTCCCGGCGCTGCACAGCAAACAGTCTGAATTGACAGCCAGGGCACAGACGAAATCGTCTCCTTCGCTTACGAGCTGCTCTGCTGAAATCTGGAATCGAAGCTGCTGCAGCTGCATGGACACCCTCCGGGCGTCAGCCATCGAAATCAGCAGCTGCGTTATTTCGGTACCCTGCTTGGCTATACTTCATTCCCTGGAGAGCCATCACTTTCAGTTTCTGCTCACCTATGCACGCTTATTTCCTGCTTGAGCCAACAAGGCAACCGAAGATCGTCATAGCAGCTTAGCAGCAGCGACACGTGCGAGCAACAAATTCCTGGACATCCTCGGGCTCTCACTGTTGTGAGGAAGTATTTGACTATGATATCCGTCCGTGCATGACCTGGGGGCACATAGAGCCGAGCATCCAAGGCACAAACTTACACGCTATCTTGGTTCCAAGCTCATCTGGTGCTGGCAAATACATCGGCCGAAAGCTTCTACGATGTCGAACTGGATAATGCCCTTCGGGTTGGCGGGCTTCTCATGCATCGTGGAAACGGTGCCGCGCCGTTCTTCCTTTTGTGCTGTCTTTCTTTCTAGCAACCTTGTGTATCTTGACCGTACAATTAGATGCTATATGCGCACATATCGTGTACCTTTATTATCATATTATATGTATATATGTAAATGAACACACTTTTATTTTGGCCCACTCCCCAAGCCCCCCCACCCACCTGAAATGCCGACATAGCGACAGGGAGGAAGATCCCCAAACTTCCCAAAATCTGAGTCACTGTTGACCTGCACTCCACATGGATGCTCGCATTTTGTTGGTGAGTTTGTTTATACAGTTATACCAGTACGTGCGTGTATGTTCCGTCCTTCAATCGTTGCTTCCTTCCCTTCGTTGCTTCCTCCCTCCCTCCTTTCTTTCCGTCCCCTCCTCCTTCAGCTGCCTTCCCTTCCTTGCTTCGCTTCTTCCCTCGTGTGTTTTAACCCAGAATTGGCTCTATTGATAGAAAACCCGACTTGATGTTTCGGATACATTCACCAAGTTGTCCAACACCGCCATGCCATTCGCGCCTGAATCAGACCGTTGACATGACCTGAGCGACCAAGTGATGTCTGGCAGAACCAGCTTCAGTCTGCTTGAGGCTGATGAGGCAAGCACGATTAAGCATGTTGGTGAGCTTGGTAATTTGCTCGTTCTGCCAGTCCTCACCGCCTGCCGTCTCGTCTCAGAGGGGTCTCACATACAGTAGGCATCTCTGTTTCAAAGACAGCGCCTGCATCGGTCTTCGACAGGAACACGGAGTCTGCCGTGGTCAGCTGAACCAGACATTGCCCTGCTGCCGACTGCATCTCGAAGGGCGCCTCACGACGGGACGCAAGACATGCAAAGAAGCACGGAAAGGTCCAAGCCTGGTCACAGCGGACGATGAAGGAGATGAGGCTCACAGCACCTGGCCGGGCGGAAGAGCCCTCTGAGACTGTCGCAGCTGTCGTGTTATCCTGGCATTTGCGGCGCAACTCCCGGATACACAAAAACAGAGCGGAAGTTGCCAGCGACATCATTGTCCGTCAGCTCCATGAGCATGAGTCCTTCATGCGAGCCAAGTAATGCAGAGCAGGCTACGAACAGAACCAGATGGTTCCTGCACTGATTCTTGTAACCTGTCCACCCCCTGCAATCAGACACCCTCCCTGGCCTGTCAAACTGTCGCCGAAGATGGCGAAAAGCACCTTCCACTGGTCGAGGACAGCTTCATATGCTGTAACAACAGCGAGCTTGCGCTCTCACAAAAGTGCCGCCTGCTTTTTATGTCGGAACGGGTGAAGCAAAATCTATTCGTTAACAACAAAACCAAATGGCTGGGGCCTGCCCTCGCAGGTCCTCGTAAGATGCCGGGCCCTAGCGGCCCGGCTCTTTGCACTAACTTTCACAGGCAGACTAGGTCTAAGCCCGGTAATTCAACAGGCATGGATTCTCTGCACTGTGAAACTCTTACGACGTCTTTGCCCTCTTTTCAGGAGGCTCGCTCTTCTTCAAAGCCCAGTCCTTCCGACTGCGCGCTGGCAAAGCACGTTAGAGCTACAGCGCTGGTCACCAGCACGGCCAGGGCCGGGGCGTAGTAACGGCGGAAGGTGGACCCTAGGAAGTCACCGAAGTTTTGTCCCGGCCTGAGACGATGACGAGGTCTTTTGCCATGAGCAGCTTGCAGAAGCCAGCTCCACAAATCTATGCCAAGTTACTCCCACCGTTCTCCCAGAGGAGGTACTTTGGAGCAGAGGCCTTTCCAGCCCCAAGGCAGAACAAACACGTAGCGAATGCAAGATCCTGAAAGAAACGCCGACAGCCTCTCGCAAGGACCTCCTCGCGGGACACACCCTCCGGTATCCTGAAGCATGGGAAGCAAAGTAAAGCTGCACCCCATGCTCGTGCCAAGTTGCCTCAGCTCGAAAGATGGATGCGTGTCCACGAAGCACGGACAGCTGATTCTTGCAACCTTCGAAAAGTTCACGTCAGCAGGAAACCCGGTGATATCTCCACAGCCAGCCTTGCGGCCGTTCGCATACTCTGGACGACAACCTCGTACACAGTGCGGAGTCGCCACAAACTCTCCGGCAGTCACGACCTCAAAATCTCTAGAGAGCATCGTCCCGCGCTTCTGTCACATGCAGTCCCGAGGTGACACGAGGCTGTACAAACGCAAGATTCTCTTGAGCTGTGCCCCGGGGCCACGACCTGTGTACACTCGCCCACTTGGATTGCCATGCAGTCCCGGGGAATGCGCACACGGATTGCCTGCGACATGATTTTTAAGCATGACCTGAGCGTTTGCAGTCCCACGACTTGACCAAGGTCTCAGGCAAGTACGCTGCCGTCGCGATCGACAACCCATAATCCAGCTCCTTCTGGATCAGGGTTTGGAATCATCTCTCCCTCGGACAGCACAGATGTCATGTGCTGCCACTGATGTTGGATGCCTTGCTGAGTGCTACGCGTCTTTGTCATCTACCTCAGACTTGCTGTCATACAGACACCATAATCGTCGAAACTCCGTGCCAGACACCTCTCTATCACCATCTGTCTCGGCTTCAATCACGGACGGCATCTTGCGCATGCGGCCAGCATTTGGCCAGGTCGCGAAGATGTCAGGGGTCAGACCCGTCATGAAGCCCGAGTCATTGTGCCTTACCAATAGCTCGAAATCAGAGCCGCGGGGGTCTGTTCAGGCACGACGAGAAGATGACCAGCCAATCCATCCATCCTCCAAGACCAGCCAAGGCCCAATTAAGGGCTCAAATCGAGAATCCGGGAGTACTCAACCGAAACCGAAACGAAACCGCCCTCCTCCGGCACGGCGGAGCCTTGAGCTGCGCCGGTTTCCTGCACCGCATGCAGCTTGACGCTCCCTGAAAGCCGCCCCTTCCTCGAGCCAGGGGCCTTGGGGGGAAAGTAGTAGAGCAGCCGGCCTTTGCACTTCTCCGTCTCACCTGTCGACAACTCGCCGCTGTCCTGGACCCTGAGACGGCCCAGGCTCCCGGCTCAGAGTCTTTCCAAGGTTGGCGGTGTAGCTTTGCACCTGGTACCAGAGAATGCAGTGGAACTGACTCAACTGACTGCCACTTGCACCTATATTAATATAGTTCTGGCCAGTATCCCGAGTTTTCAGCATGCTCATCTGCAGTCAGCTTGGTTGGTTGCCAGAAGGTGCCGAATGCAGCTGTCAAACCCCTGTGACGCCGCTACGCCAGTGCTAGACTCCTTGGGCGCAGGTCTCACGGCCGCCGAATGTTCTGCCTCATGCCAAATCCCCCGTGCTCCTGTGCTCCTGCTTTTCCTCGGGACATGTTCTGGACTTCGCTTTCTGAACTTCCAAAGTGCTGGCCAGCTCTGGCATCATGACAGCTGCAGCTGGAGACTACCCTCTTGAAGCTTGCCGTAAAGCGCAACAGGCACGGAACCTTGCCGGCCATGACCCGATCGACTTGCTTTCCAAGCTGGCCGATCACCTGATCACGTGAGGGGAGGCACGGCGGAGGCACTGCGGAGGCACGGCACTCACAACGATGCTCGGCCGGCGCCTCCTGCATTACGCGGCCCAAGGCTTTGCAGTGCGTCTCCAGCTCCGGAATTTCCTGCAATGTGCCCAACCACCAGGCATTCATTGTTGCACGTGATTCCATGTCCTTTGGCCACAGATTCTTCGGCAAAGCCCACGGGAACTTTGCGCGATCCTCCTGGAAGGTGATGGAAGCATGCAAACATGATGCATTTAGGGCAGTGGCCGGAGCCTCTGTGCCAGGAGCATCGGCCAAGGGGTTGAAATAGAACCTCGGGAGTGCGCTCAACACTGACTGCCAGAGTGGAAAGCTGGGATGCAGCTGTGCTCTGGTCACAAAGCCTCCTGGGTTGCTAAGGTTTGTGCGACCCTTTCGCTAGGTCTGGTTTGTCCCCCAGCTTCTCTTTGCCGTGCGACCTGAGGGCACATGATGGCAACAACCCGAACTCAACGCGCATTTTCTGCTTAGGCACGTGGCCAGCCAGCATTGTACATAGAGGCCTGCAGAGGACAGTAAGCACCAGTACGTAGCAGTACATTCGGAAACGAAAGAGCTCTGCCTCATCCTCGATTGCTCGCAAACTCTCGGGCGACAAGTGAGCGAGCTTGTGCGCTTGCCTAGGGCACATCACAGTGTGGGGCTGCAGGCTTGCCCGGTCGTGGATGCTAGGAAACCTAGGTGGCCTGCTTCAGCACAGACATGTACAGCTCCTCTCGCTCCAATGCTCGCAGCTCGCACTCTGGAAACTCGCTTCATGGCTTCGGTGTCCTCCCAGCGCGGGACTCCTCGCACCGCCACGACGCCCAGGCTGCCTGGTCCCCAGGCCTGGCAGCGGCATAGCAGCAGGGTATCACAAGGGTCGCCGAGATGTCCAAGTCTATGAGCCTCGAGGAGTTGCGACCCGAGGTCCGCACCCGCCACAAGGTCCTCATACCTCGCGAGAGCCACGTCAGCTCTGAGACCAAGCGTACTAAGCCGTACTACGTGGCGTTTGATGGCTTTTGCGTAGGGCACGCGACGACAACCACTTCTCGAGGCATGGAGAGGACGAGTCGCCCGGCTCCGCGCTCTCTTCGGACCCAAAGTCGAAAGAGGTCACAAAGCTCCAGACATCCCACGGTCTAAAGCTGGAGCCAAATGAGCCAAACGGCGAGACCCCGAGTTCATGTGTCAAGACCTCAAGAGATCTCAAGAGCACGGCAGCACACCCCTGCCGAAACGCGCAGCACCTGAAGCATCCAGAGCCTCAGGAGGCCCGTGGCGCCAGGCTGGACCTTCGACGATGTGCTGCCATCCCAGATCCTAAAGTACTTGCCTGGGTGGGGTCCGGGCCCACTCGTAGGTCTCTACGCATGACAATAGGACGTCGTAGACCTGCAGCTGAAGTAAATTCGTTCCCTCCCGGTTGCTGATCTTTCGCTTGGATTGTCACACTGCTTCCCAGTACGACTTCCAGGGTACATCGCGCTTTGCGGCTGGACTAGCAGACTGCCGCACCTCGTGCACGTCTTCAAGTAGTCGCAACAGAAGCTCCTGCAAGAAATGCTGCACGAAAGAAACTCGAAAACGCCGAATGCTGGTCTCCTTGTTTGCAATGCCTGGCATGGCGAACCCCAGCTTCGTGAGGGTCTCGAAGCATGCCTCCAAAATGTCACGCACGACACTTCGGTTCCTGCATGTTGCGGTGGAATTGTGCACAACCGCTTAACAAGCTGACACCTCGTAGACATCGAACGAGTCGGGTGCACCACAGGAAATGATGACCGCCTCTGCACGCTCAAGCATCAAAACAGACTGCCAGTGTTCGGTGACAACCTGACAACACCCAACACATTTGGATTCAAGCGGGCACTTGCTCGCCAGATTTTTTTACCAGCGTCGGCAAAGCACCATCGCTGATCCCACATGACAATCAACTTCATTTTAGAGACTGCGCCACACTGTGCTGGGGTATGGCAAAACAGCAAGGCTCTCAAAGTTCAACTGTATCATCTATGCATCCACCTTGAAAAGCGGCGCAGGTGAGAGGTCAGGCCTTTGACTGCTCAAAGCATTACCCAGTACGATTGCAGAAGCCAAGAGCTAAAAGCAACATCACAATCAATGATGGCTTATTGTGGCTAGAAGCTCATCTCTATCAGAATAAACCGCAAGGCCTGGAAAATGTCTCTGTACCTGATTCCATCAGGTCTACAGGAGAATTCGAGACTTTTCTATTTGCTGTGATGAGTAGGGGGAGAGTCATCTTGACACGAGACCCCCCGGTGGAACTTCCAGTGCGACAAATGCGAAACCCGGCGAGGTTCTCAGTTGAAAAGAAGGGGTCAGCGAGTGCCATGTGCCATGGTCCTGCAGGCACAAGTCCGGTTGACAGTGCGAAGCGGCATTGCAGTGGAAGATAGTGGAAGTAGGTCCTCTGCAAGGTTATGTTTGCGCATTGGTTTTCGGTGATGGCGTGTCGGATGGCTCGGCTTTCTCGCCTTCATCGCCTTGAGGAGGTGCCGGTGCCGGGCCGGCAGGCGGTGCAGGCAGCGACTTGGCCTGGGCTTCCTTCTCTTCCTTTTGTGGCTTCGGGGGTGCCGGGGGCGCCTGCACCTTCGGGGGTGGTGGCAGAGGCCTGGAGGAGGGAGAACTCGGGGGTGGAGCCGAAGGAGGGCCGGAGTCGGCGGGCTTGGCCTTTGGTGCCTTCGCTGGAGCTGGCATAGCTGGTGGTGGGGAAGTTTCTGGGCCCTCCTTTGCCGCCTGGTCTGCTGCTTCCGTGGCTGGAAGAGCTGCCTCTGCTTCCTCCTGTTCCTTCTCAGATGCTTTCGGTTCTTTGCCGTCCTTGTCCTTGTCTTTCTCTTCCTCGACCTTTTCGGCTGTCTCTACTTTCTCCTCCTCCGCCCTGACCTCTGCAGAAGGGCCCTGGTCGGAGACCTCACCATCTGCAAGGGCGGTGGCAGACAATGCACCTGATCCATGCAGGCAGCAGCAGCTTTCAAGCCTTCCTGTCTCGGACACCCTGGCCAGGCCTTGGGGTGGCTCTAGATCCACATCCACGCTGTCGCTCTCTTCAGACTTTTGGCCTGATGCGACAAGACAGCTTTGCGAAGTCGCGAGACAGTAGGATGCAGTAACCTGGCGACATAGATACCGAAAACACAGCTTTGCGAATGCCTGGCAGGGCTGGCGAGGACTTCGGCTGCCACCTAAGCAACGCTCTTGGAACTCTTCTGTGTCTCTGTTCGGTCGCACATCGTCCCTCGCATCATCCCCCATCTCTGCGCCAGGCTTCGGTGCAACTGCAGGCGGAGTCGGCGTTGGCTGCCCCGGCTTCGGGGGTGCTTGGAGCGGTGCCGGAGCCTGGGCTTTTGCCGGCGGCTTTGAAGCCGGGGGCCTCAGCAGCATGAAGAAAAGCTATGTCGACCTGCACAGCCTGCAGCATATTGCTCAGATCCGCCCATGCCCAAACGAACTGCCTGTGTTTGCTTTTGCAAGCAAGTGACTGCGTGCCGCCCTTTGCAACCGCACCTTTCAGAAACAGCCGCAGGATAATGGCACGAAAAACCGAACAAGCAAGATGAGCTGACAAAGACGGGCATGGGAAGTGCCCGCTTGCCTTGGGCCACATCGGCTTCCTGCGCAGCAAACCAGCGCTGCTGCAATCACACGATTCGACCCAACATGGAGTAAGATTCGATCAATCGCTCCACTTCCGCAAGGCTCTTCAGCAAGGAGCCAGACATCTGCATACATCCTACATCGTCACTCGAAAGTCCTGACCACCTTCTGGGGTCTGCTGGGGGCCTCGAGAGCTTGCCACTGCTTGTCGCAGCACGCAGGCCGTGGACTGAGCACAGAACCTACCTGCCGAGGCATCATCTGCCTGACAACAGGAAGGAGCAGAAGCCACGCTTCCAGCTTCCAGCGAGGTTTTAGGCTCGCGGCCCCTCCAGGCGGCGACGAGCTTCGCCTGCGCAATCGGCCCTCATCCCAGCTCTTGCTGCCGATAAAATTGAGGGCACCTTGGTCGGAGAGACCGACCTGAATGGCGCTCTCATCCTGCCCAGGCATCCCAGGCATCCCAGGCACAGGTCTCTTCGCGCGCTTCACTCGGACCTCTTGAGAGAGTTCAGACACGGAGGGGACTCTTTCGACCTGGACATCGCTCGGCGTGACTGCCGTATCAACAATCGAAGAAGGCCGCGGGCCGTGAAGTGAACGTTTTTCCTGTCCTTGGACAACTCTTGCACCATCCTGGCAGCGGTCCACAATGGTCCACACTGTCTCCACGGACCAGTCTTTGACTCTGTACAAAGACGCACGAACAGAGCGGCAGCCCGGCAGCAGCACTAAACTTCAATGTCGAAGAAGCCAGTCCTGACTGCGAACTTGTCATTCTGCGGGTTGTTGTCCCCACCTGATTGGCTTTGAACTGCGGCAGCGAAAGGCCAGAAGAACGAGCTGAGATCGAGAAGTGCAAAATAGGACTCCGGGGTTGCGCACTGATGCTCACATCGTTCACCTCGAGGATGTGATCACCTGCGACGAGCAGAGAAAATGTGCGGACTTGCGGTGTCGGTCACGCCCCGGGCTTGTCACATAAATTCCTCTTGAACCCTTGGTTCAGCTTCAAAACAATAGCGGTATAAAGCGGTCCATTCGTGTGCAGCTATCCAGGAAAGCTCATGACAGGTGCCAACAGGTCGGGGAAAGGTGTTTACGAGTGGGGTTCAAAAGAAACAAGTTGGCTGAGAAAGCTCCACCCCAGATGCAGAAAAAATACCCAATGCTACCGGAATTCTTCCAAGAGCACAATACAAGAATTCCAACAAAGGATCTGCATGGCACCCTCCCTTTTCGTATTTTTACCTTGGACACTGTGCCTGGCAAGACCCGGTAGGGCATCTGGCTCTGCTTGTTCCACGCGTCCACCTCGTGTCAATCGTTCTGGTGCTCATGTGATGGAAACCACACAAACCCTGGGTGCAAAACTCTGCCGCCCTCACTGACTTTGTAGACCAACAAGCCGCCTTCAGTCGAGGATGCAGTTCTGAGAAAAGCTCCACTGCGAGCCCGCTTGCCCTCTTGGCTTGCAAAGACCGGTCTCGGGACACGGCAGAAGTTTGCCTCTCGCTTGAGGACGACCTTGCAGGAGTCAGGGCTCAAAGTCTCAAATGCTCTCTCCGTGTCCTTAGGGTCCTGGGGACACGGCATCTATACCAAGACGCCCGGGCCCTTTGCGCGCTAGGACGACCTCCAGTGCAGTATCAGGGCACTTCAAATCTGAATGAGTATAGTCTAGTCGTGTTTGGTTCTGCGGGTGACAGACGTTCACATGTCGTCTGCCCAGGCTAGCACAAACTTCTGACCAAAAGGTGCAAGGTGGTTCCAATGCCTGAAAACGAAGCGGCCCGTTCCTGAGTAGTGCAGAGCATTGTTAAATGTGCTGACGAGACCAGGAAGAGGAACTGAAATTCTCCTCTCCTTCCTAAGTTCCACACGTGCCATTTTCTTGAACGTCAATGCTCCCTATCAGATCACCTTCAGCACACAAAAGTCACTCACTCAGCCTGTTGATGGCTTCCTCTCTGCACATCCCATCAGACCCTTACCTGGATCGTCGGCAGTTGTTCCGAGAGGTCGAGATTCAATAGGCACCCTCAGCTGCTTGGCTGCTTATGCATATCTGTCAAACGGCTGCCCACAAGACACAAAGCCACGAACACTTCAGGCAGCGGCAATGGTTTTGCTAAACCGGGGGGAGGTGCGGATGTTTTCCTGAGCCGTCCCAGAACCATTGAGACGTACCCATGTCACATCATTGTAAATTACGAAGCCATCATCTATTTGTCACCTGTTCACTGTATTAAAACTGTTGCTCCAGTGGGGGATAGGTCGAGCCCCGCGCTCCAACGCATCCTCCATGGCCTGCTTACCCCACCATACCCCAGCAAAAAGTCTTCGGCGACGCTGGCCTCGTTGGGCAGGGCCTGGTTGATGGGAGCTCTGGGCATCCTCAGGTGAACCATGGCGAGCGCAGCACAGAATCCCTCAACGCTATCCAGCCTGCTTGCGGCACTTTCAGCGCCATGGCCCGCTAGGCCCGCTAGCACATTTTGCATCTCATCCGCTGCACCAATACCCGCCTCCAAGAACGTCGCGCAGGCAGAGCATAGGTGAAGTGCTGGTCGCTTGGGCAGCTGCCAACTGACCACGTGGACCCAGGTCGTCCTGCTTGTGACATGCAGAGATTTGCCTCACCGCTGATGATAACATCGACAGCATGCCTGAGCTCGAGGTGCAGTGGACTTGGGAACTTGCCTGAGATGCAATAAACAGCAAGCACCACAATCGGGCGACAGTCTTCCTGGAGTGGGTGCAACGATCTTAGGAGTCTACTGTGGAAGTTGTGGCGGAGCTTTTGCAGGTGCCTTTGCGCCAGCCGGCCTGGCAAAACGCTACCAGTCACTGCCGTCCCTCAGGCAAAAGTCAGGACTTGACATGGTGCCATCAGTTTAGCTGCCCACACTGCCGGGTTGTTGCCCCCTTGCCGCACGACGGCCAGGCGAATGTTACGGTGGCTTTGCAACTCCTGATCAGGATTTCGAACTGTATGAAGCCCGTGCATATGCTACATGCAAGAATTAGAGTTGCAGTTCACAAGAAACAGTACGTCCAATTGCCGCTTGTTGGTGCCGCACCTCCATCATCTTGGCATGGTCTCCAACCGCATTGAAGACTCGCGTGATTGCCTGACCGCATACATCTGTAGCACTGCGCCATCGCTTCTTCCATTCTCCGGGAGAAGGACGTCTCCACTTCGAACTTGGAAGGCGGAGCAAACGGACCTCCGGCCGGCTCTACTCCCAAAAGGCACATGGTTCTTCCTCCGAGGCTGCTACTTGTTCCAAGCGTCCACAGCGCCCCCCTCAGACACTTCGTTCACCTGCGAAGACATGGCAAATCAGCGGAAGTCAAGGCAGCCTGCTTGTGCATGTCTTGCCCAAAGTCAGGAGCACACCCACAGCACTGCGACGTCGTGCATGGTGACTGGAAGGACACTGAGGCCAAGCCTTGCGACAAAGCAACTGCGAAATGCTCAAGGCACAAGCAGACCGTCGCCGGATCGCCTCATGCCTTCATGCCGCTGTAGATAAACCTGCAGACCCAGGAAACTAAACAACTGCTTCACCCTGGACGAGAAAGGTCGGTGTCGCCCTGTGTCGCCTCGAATGTAAAGTGGCTGTTTGGATCCTGGCTCTGTGCCGGCGCGGTCTGAGCAGCCGCTGCGGCGGCAGCTGCGGCGGCCGCTGCGGCCGCCGGAGGCTGAGCCTGCCCAGGGCCCAGGGATTTCAGGGCTTTGGGGGCCTTTCGGGGTGCTTCGCAGTGATTCGTAGTTGCGCATGGCCAGGCGGCAAGGGGCCTCTTCCTTGTTCTGCAGCTTGGTGGGCGCCGGATGCTGTGGAGGCTGTGACTGGGGAGTGATCATCGAGCGCATCATCGACTGCTGTGCCTGGAGCTTCAGAAGATCAGCTTTGTTGACAAGGTTTTAGACCATCTGAGCCCCATGCCATGTTCGGGATATCAGGCCTGGTGTTCTGGCCATGCCCGCCGAAAGACATCTCATGACTACATGTTGCAGGATCCTCCCCACAGCATCGTCTCTGACTGCGCCACATGATCAGGAAACTCCAAACATCTTTCAAAACGCTCTGACTTAGCAATTTAGATTTGTTCTACTTCGCTGGCTGGGAAAGCAGACACCACATGCTCAGCCAGTCCAGCAAAACGAGGCTGCTGCGGAGTCGCTGGCTGCTGATAGCCTCGACCTGCCGAACGCGGCTCTAGGAGCCGAGGAGCCTAGATATCTAACTAGGCTCTTCACAGGCAAGAAAAAAATTCAGCACATTCCCCCCTTTGCTGTCCATTGCCTTGGTCGAAGGCTCCAGCTCCTGTGCCCGGGTTGCCACAGCCACAAGGCGCTGACTGCGTTCTCAAACCCCTCCTTCGGGAAGGCTGCCCAGGTTGGGGTCTTCCTCAAGGCACGGCGTCACGCCTGTAGAGTCGGCCAAGACCGCAAGAGCTGAGAGCGAAACCTCTCCAGGAAGCGCAGCCTAAGCCAAATAGTGCTTCGGCTCGAGGACCACGCAGCGATGGTGACTGAGCAGCTGGCTTGCGATCCTTCGCCCATGAGACCTGTAGCTGGTTCAGTCTACTGGGATTGAGGAACTTTAAGAGTTCTACAAAAAACCAAGAGTCTTGATTCCCGCAGCCGAGGCATCTGCCAAGCTGTTGCTGCAGCTGTGCAATTTTCTGCTGCAGCTGCAACGCTTGCTTGCCTTGCGCACCAGATGTCTTCCAGCTTTCTTCTGCCGAACCGAGCGCATCATGCCAAGGCGCTCAAAGCATTGATGTTCATAGGCATCTGTGTTGGGCTCCTCGTGGCCGCAGCTTCCACTCAATAAGTCTATGCGCTGATCATTGACGACAAGAGAAGACACGCACCCAGAACTCTCTTGGCTTTTGTTGTTACGGCCACACCCTTGCTACGAGGATGAACCACAGTACTAGATAGACATGTACGCGATAACAAGAACAGCAAACCAGCAGGGCGACAAAAAGAATGGACCGAAAAATCATCCTGCAAGAAGCGGTCTAATGTAGAGGGGCTCCTCTGTGCCTGCGACGCCGCAGCTGATGGCGGAAGCGGGGGCGGAGGTGGAGGGGACATCATAGCCTTCGCCTGAAAACAAATCTTGCCACACTGAAGCTTAATCTTCCACATGCCGTTGAAGCTTCATCTTCGAAGTGCCTGCGATTGTTGCATCGCCTGCTGCTGTTGCAGCTGCTGCTGCTGAAGCTGAAGCTGCTGCTGCAGCTGCGCCAAGCCAGACCTGTTCCGCAAGGCCAAGAGATGTCTGGCATCGACTCGCTTCGAGGACATGTAAAAACACATGGTCAGTTCTGAGCCCGGAGCTGAATTCCGCCAATGCTGTCCCCCATCCCGCACCCACCACATCCTGGAAACTGCCCGCAGCATCCGCCGCAGTTGCCGCAACCGCCACATCCGCAACCACCACCACAGCCTCACAGGCTGTAAGAACAATGGCTTGACGTCAAAACAAAGCATCAGCCTTTGCCTCAAATCAGGTGTAAAGCATTTTGTCTCGCTCTGCCCTTTCTATGCAACATCTTGGCCGGAGAGCTCTAGACTTTATAAGACGAACCGAGTCTGGCCCAGAGTCCTTTCAAGGTCTCCCTCTGGAGTGGACTGTTAAAGCATGCCGTTCACTGTCACTGCCAAGTCTCTGCTCGGTCTGTCACTACATGGCCAGGGCACCCGTTGCATGCCCAGGGCATGTGGTTCCAAAAGTTGCATGGCACTGTGCTGGCATCCTTCCTGAACATTGAAGTCTGCGTCAAACACAAGCCGTCCGACGTCGTTCTCGACAGGGCACGGGCAGGCCATGAACACTAGAAGTCATCGATGGCTTTTGAACTGGCCAGCGATGACTTGTAGCAGTTAGCATTCATGGCCCGCCCACAGAACACATTTAATCGGTGGACAAGGAGAGGCCTAAAGAACTCTGCATGCATCCGCATCTGTGTCAGCGTATGGTGAGATACTGTAAGCCACAAGCTGTCATAGCACAATGTCGTGTCATGCTCACGCCTGTCGACCCTTGCATTCCAAAACTATGGCGATTGGAGCCGCATGAAGTTCTGAAGGGTTCTACACGGCACCATTCTGGTCAGCACATGGCATGTGGCGGATGATCAAAACACCTGTCGCAAGACAGCCACATGGCAGCCAGGTTCCTTTCTTTGCCTATTTTGTCTTGTAAGGCCCTTCTGCAGAACAAACCCCGTGACACGACCCCCCAGGCAGACCTCCGCAACCGCAGCCACCGCAGCCGCTGGACCTGCCAGCAATGCTTTGAGTGGGACTTGTATAGTACTTCTTGGGTCATGGAGGCTGCGGGCTTATCCAAGCCGAAGCATCGTCAAGCATCGGCCTGCGACCGGCAACACTCTGAGGCCGGAGCGCTCCACAGCCCCCACAGCCGCAGCCACCGCAACCTGGACTCGCAATTGAAGCCCTTGCCGATGTTTCGAAAGCAGCGCGACTTTGTCGAAAGGTCCTGAGGACGCAGCCACCGCAATTCCTTGGCATTGCATGAGTACATGTGATACATTGAGAAAATCGGAATGCAGAACTAGCTCAAAGAACGAAGCAAACAAAACGCATTGATCGAACACACAACGAGGAAAGCCAAACAAGTTAGCCGGCCGCGCTGTACCTTGACACTCCATGTCATTGACTGGGACCCCGGCCCCCCACAGCCCACACCGCAACCACCACAACCGCAGCACCCACCGCAACCGCCGCAGCCACACCCACCGCAGCCACCGAATCCAGAATTCCCGCTTCGGCCGCAACCGCCGCAAGGCCCTCCGCAGCAGCCAGCGCCGCAGCCACCACATCCGGCTCCACATCCAGCTCCGCAGCCAGTCCCGGACCTAAGCAGAGCACGCCCAAAAAGACGCCCAATGGCCCATGGATGTCGATAGCCCATTTCTTTTATGGGACAGAAAGTCCGCGGCAGGCCCATGGACTGCCTGGCCAGGGCCTGGCCCTGCTGCATCAACCTTCCGCTGACACGAGAGAGCAGCAAGGCTCTTAGAGTTCCCGAGGCTCCGACAACGAGTCCACGTCCGCTTGGCTCTGTGCCTCAGAGATCATCCGGGAGGGCGACTGCCGGTGCCATTGGTCGGTGGCCTGTGCACCACAAGCACCGTCGTTTGGCCTCAGGAGACTCTGCCCTGGCTCAGCTACCAGTCCTAGTCACACAAGCTCCAAGGCAGCTGCATGTCTGAGAAGAACGGCACTGCTGGGGCCGTCTGGCTCTGAACCTGGCCGGTCCGAGGCTTCCGGTATCGATGGGTACCACAGTTCTGCGGCAGCGCCAGGCCTTCCAGCCATGCCGGCCCAAGGCACCAGCCTTGACACACGAACAGGCAGTCAGGCGAAGTATTGCGATTTGTATGCAGGAGTCCCACGTCTGCATCTGCAGGCGGAGAGGAGCCCGTCCTGTCCACTTTCAAGTGCAAAATTTCGCCAGCTCGGTCAGCTCTAGCAGTCTGTAGACTTCTGAGGCCACGGCCCGGTCCAGTTGCCGGATACTTCCTGCAAGCCACAGGTCAATTCAGCCGGCTTGCAAAGCATGTTTGTCTGTCCTGCATGTTGGGTGGAGGAAGCAGGTTCGGCGACTTGGACACTGCTGCACTGCCTGGGCGACTTCTCCACGCAGCACAAGCTGGCGTGGCACGGCAGAGCTCGACATGCCCTCCCTCAGCGGGCCTGAAGTCGCCAAGTTGGGTCCTCGCAACTCGCAATGGGGGCATCTCACGTGATAAGCGTTTCTCTTGCACCGTCACAGTTGCAGCGCTGGCCTGCACAGTATCTTCTCACTTCCAGTCGGATGGTAGAAGCCTTTACACTGCAGCCACTAAAGCAGTACACACGCACAGACAAAAGATCACGAAACGTGCCGAAACTATTGGCCTCCATGACTTTACCAGCTATCGCTGGCATATGATGTGCTAGTGGGCCATCAGCCTTAGTATGAAAACTCGGTTGGCCCTGGACCACTGGAGTCCTGGAGCACGCTGGACTTGCAGTCTGGGCTGGGAACGTTAACACCATTGACCTTGACCACCAAGTCTCCCTCCTGTATTCTGTAGCCCTCTGGGCTTTTCCTTGGAGCGAAACACCCTGTGAGACTTGCAGGCAAACGTGTTGCTGTAGCTACGGTAAGAGCACTGCTTGTTGTACGCATCCACCGCCCCTCCGTCGGCTACCTCAGAGCAGCGGCGCTCGGTGCTGACTCGAGCCACAACCCCCAGATAAAGCGCCTTCTCGACGACCAAGCCTTCCCTGTCGGGCGTGTTGACCTGAGGCAAAGACAACTCGCGCAGAGCCAGTGACGGGGCAGCGGCTCGCGCTGGCAACTCGCTGTTAGTTGTGAGTATACACTGCAGCTACAAGCTTCACCCGCAACAAAACAATGCATAGCCGCCTACTTCGGGCGAAAATATATTGTCATGGACAAAGACCAGTCACACATGACGAGTTGTACTCGTCTGCGAATGACAAGCATCCGTGCCGCTTTTGTGCAACATCGCCTTGCCTGCTCCTGTCTTACGATTTGTGACTTATGACCTTACATCCTGAGTATGCGCTAAAAAAGACTTTTGCTGACACACATCAAAACAATGCGTCAATGGATCATCCGGCATGGCACTGGCAAGATCTGCCCTTAGGGCGACACCAACGACAGCTGGATACCAAGGCGAGATCCAGCTGGCTTGGGAAACTCTGCCTTCGGCAGATATGCAGAGCACACGACAAGAGTAAAAGCAAGGGATCGTCGGCCCTTGTGCCTCGAAGGTGTGGATCATGGGCCCCTGCATCGCTTGGCCAGCAAAGGGCTCCGCAACAAATACAATCGTCTATCCCCAGGTCCTAAGTTCCCTGCGATGACCCTAAACCTGTAGCGCCAAAACAAGGCGCACGGTGCTTCGCAACGACAATACTGCACGAGTTGCCTACTTGGGTGCAGGGTACAGCCTCTGCATTCTCGAGAGCTACTGGCAAGAGTAATCGCTCGTCAAGTGCTGAAGTGAGCTACTGTGCTGGGCATGCTCGTCAAGACGGCCCAACCCAAAGCTGAGCTGAGCCAAAATTCCAAAAAAGGAGAAGAGCTTGCGGCAAAAAATCGGAAAAGTTATCGCAGCGAAGTGTCCTGGCAGCCCCCGCAAACTCTGCACTCGCACTCGCTGTTGACTTCCGGCGACTGATGAGCACCGATCGCCCTCCGGCCGTCTTGGCCCGGAGGACATTTCGATGCACAGGGACTTTCTCTGCAACAGCTGAAGAAGTTTTCAATTCGAGCTGGAAAGCCTGGCAAAACAGGCTCTATGTCTTTATGTACATGGCACTGCATTTCGGCCGTTCTTCTTGGAAACTGGCTAAAGTCTCCAGCGGGAGAGAGCTTCCTGATGCCACAGGTAAACTCGGAAGAGCTGTCACGACACACATAGACAGAGGTGGCAAGACTTCAAAGACTTCAAGACTGCGGGATCCTGCCTTGCTCCTCCACCTTGTCGTTGAGATGCGGCCTGAAGAAGCTTCCCAAGGCCGCTGGATTTCCCACAACGAACAACCCACATGAGTTGTCAAAAGTTGTCAAACACTTGCATGAAAATAAGTTGCGCTGCAAGCCCTGGCACCTGAAAGAATCTTGACAGAGTTGCCTTCAACCATGCTGGCTAATCACGGAAGTCTTCATTATTCCCATGGAACCCCGAAAATGCAGTGAGAGCCAACATCAGAAATCGCATGTTCCACAGCCTCGATGGCTGGTGCCCTGCCCGCGCCCGCCGCGCCTTGCCTTGGAGTCTGTCATGCCACTTCTGTCAGCTGCAAGGAAGTCTAAAGTATCACGCTTCCCATGCTTCCGTCTACAGGATGCAGGTGCGCGAAATCGCTTCCAAGAGCATGCTGATAGTCACTGATAGTCTGCATAATACAGCACATCATGAGTTGCAACACGCAGCTCGGCTGATGCCTTTTGAACCTTGAGCTCATGCACCATCCTGCAATCACTCACGTCGTGGACTTGCCCTTGGTTTCGGGCCTTGGCTGTGAATATCTTTTGGACGGCCACACTTGATTGTCACATGCTTGAGGAGTGGACACAAGGCTGACACCGAAGACAGTTGCGACAACTAGCACGAATGCCTGGGTTGACACCGCAACTGCAGCAACACAAGCAGCCATGAGTCATGATGTGGTACGTACGCGCACTGGGCATGGAACCAACAGAGACAAGAACACTCGAAACTCGTCTGGACTTCCCGGGTCACCGCGTGTCTCCTGACAGGCTGAAAGTCAGAAGAGTGCAAGAAACGCATTTGCCTACCTCATAAAACGAGCGATTTTGCGGAGCTCCACAAAAGAACCTCGGGCCCTGGGTTGCACAAGTACCTACAACGCACAGGACAGAGGGCAGAAACCGGGCTTTCTAGACTGGTGCTGAAGCCGAGCGTATTACTACACGAGGTCTGTGCGACGAAACTTGGCGCAAAGTCGACTAGAATGACTGCAGAATGACTGCAAGTGCTTGGCATTTCCCAGGCTTCGGGTCTGGAGAGCCTTGTGACTTTTCCCTCATTTCGACTGAAGATGGTTGCGTGAAATCTGTGAACGTATGTTACTAAAAGGGTGCCCCAGGTCTTGCGAAATGCCACGAAACTATGGGAACTAGGAGTCTCGAGTCTCCTCGATCAGCGCAGGAGCAATCAGAGCCCCCACGCGGCCGCAGGTGCCGGAGATCGACAATGCGGAGACGCGGATCAGCGATGGGAAAAGCTCAGCCTCAAAGCCATCCAGGACAAGCCAAGTGAAAACCGCATCCCCAGCAAACGCGGACCTTCACGGTGCTGACGGTCTGTGAATATGTCCTCAGAGAACCGTCGCGGTCAGGTCCGCAGTCGTCAGTCCCTTGCAGGACTGGGGGCCACACACCATCGTCAGCTTCAGAAGGAAGATGCCAAGCACAGGAAGAAACGGCACCTTCGATCCAGCACAAAGCCCGAGGCGAAGTGTTCGACTCCAAGTTGCTGCCGAAGAACTCCACTTACCAGGAGGCAGGCAACCGCCACAATCTCGAGAAGTCCACCAAATACCAGGATCTGTCCGACAAGAGGCAGGCCAGGCTCCCTCCCAGAGACTTGCCAGCCCACAAATCCAGCCTCTTTGTAGCCGTACCTGGACTGCAGCGCCTCGATGCAGCAGAGAACTTCGTGGCATGCTGGGCAAATCTCGACAGGGCCACATGGCCTGGTACGCCAGATACAAAGCAGGGAAGGCCACCAGATTTGCAAGGACAAGTTCACCGACCTGAGCATCTTGAAGGCTCATAAGGGCTCAACCTGGACTGAAGCAGCCAAAGCAGGAGTTACCCCGACGAATCTCAGGCTGGAACGGGGGGCAGCGGTGCACCCTTTGGCAAGTCGGAGATCATGATGATGTCACATGGGCCCTATCCATAGACACAGGCGGTGCCTGCCTCTGCCAATTCGGAGATGATCAAGGGGAAAAAATAGCCTGCAAAAGCGCTCATCAAAGTGCAGGATCCGGCTCTGAAATAAGCCATTCCATTCTGCAGATGAGAAGCCACAGCCAAAGCCTGTAAAGTTGTAGGTGAAATCCAACCTCGTTGCACAACACCAATGGCAGGATGTAGAACAAGCTCATCTCGCAAGCATCACGAGTCGCAGGCACTGCGCTTCCCAAAAGGGGAAGACGCGAAGCCTGGAAACTTTGCCAGACGACCTGAAGAAGGGAGGAGAACTCGCTTGCAATCTCTGACATCGCCAAACCAAAAGGTTAGGGACATGACTTCTGTGCTTCCACTCGGCGAAGCTGCCCCAGTCGAAGCGCTTCGTGGGGGCATTGGAGGTGGCCTCCAAGTGACCTCAGGCTTTAGACATACTCTCGATCCGACCAGTGGCTGCAGTTTGGCTCTGACTGAACGGCCATTGCGCTCTGCCATCTTAGAAAGGACCTCATCGCACGGAAGGGGCGCAGGTTTCTGAAACCTTCTCCTGGATTTCCGCTCGCCACTCTGAGCTACCACGCCCGCGAGACATTGGCCGTGTCTCCCTCGCAAGCCATGACAAGGCTCAAAGACTGATGCCCTTTGGCCGCAGTGGGGCCCGGTGCCTTGAGCATATGGAACACCGGCGTGTCCTACAAAGCAAGACAGCCATAGGACAGGTCGAGGCATGTCGAGGCGGCCCAAGCTGGCCTCCAGCTCCAGCAAGGCGATGGGGAGTGCCTTTCACACAAGAGTCACCGGAACAACGAGCCCCTAGACCATATTTTTGCTTTCGAAGCTGAGGTAGCCACCAGTGCTGCTGGAATAGCTGACCAGGCACACAAGCCTCGCAGGTGCTGCGATGCTGTCACACATTGAGCATAACACGGCTTCAGGTCGGAACCTCGCCAATCCCCAGATTTCAGGTCCGGAAGAAAAAGGTAGAGTCCAAGATCCTCAGCAGTTCAGCCCCGCGATCGAACAAAACCACAACTACTTATCTCGGCTCTGCACCGCATAGAGGGCCCCGAACCTTGGCTTTTCATTGCGTGTAGAAGGGAAGCGGGACGGATCAAGCCACAAGGAACCTTTCATACAGGTCAATAAAATCCTGCACTGCAGAACAGCTTCCTACCACCACGACACGGCTCCAGACTCTTGACTCGCAAAGCAGCACCACATGCCTTCCCCCGAAGCTTCCAGGACTCGTATAAGCGCCGAGAACAGACGGACACAGACAGGCCAGCAGGCCCCCTTCACGGATAGCCCAGAAATTCAACATCTGGACTTGAGAGCCAAAAGAGCTGAAAGAGCTGAAAGAGCTGAAAGCGCGCAGGTTTTGTATTAAGTCGAAGCTCCGGGTGTCTGTCATACAGGCAGCTTCTTCTCCAATCCTATTGGAGTTGCATTTCCTTTGGTTTGACCTTGTTCACGAGTCTTTGTCGTAGGGATCCTACTATTTAGGCTCATATTAGACACCATTCTTTTCTACAACTCGCAAGTATTCATGAAGGTAAATCTTGTTTCTGTTTCCAGGATGTGAACCAACACTGCGACTTGCACTGGGTGAGTGCATCAAGACGAAATCAATTTCACCACATCTTTCTGCCCGAAAGATCAGGCCACAAAAGGGTAAGGGGGCACCCCCTGGCTACAATGGCTACATGCCTTCAAGTCTCGAGTTATCGGACCTTAAGACCCTAGAATGGCTGTTTTCCCCGTCTTTCTTACTTACCGACAACTCCGGCGAGCTCCTGCATAGCTTTCGTGACATGAAAGAGGTACATGCTGCAAAGAGACGCAATCGCAGCGTAGCACACACTCAGGAGCTGAGCACGACCTGAGAGAAGTGATGCAGTGAACTGTGTGATGAGCTGAGTCTGCTCGGATCCACACTGCTGGCTGGAGCGATCTCTGCCTCGGAACTCCCTAGAGCTAGAGCCAGGCCCAGGCCGCCGAGGCCATTTCCGGGAGCCTTGCGACCATTGTCAAAGAGGCGGGCACTCCGATACCAACCTCGGAGATGAAAAGTGGAGACAGCTTCAGACATTCTTGCAAAGGGCTGCATAGCTCACCGAGGCACTCACTGAGAACCCCGTGACCGCTCTGAAAACTCCAACCTTAAGCTGGACGGCGAGACGGACACTAACATAGACTTTAACAGTAACATCCTCCAAGTCCGAGGTAGAAGCGATCAAGGGTGACGCAGCACCCCACATCCCCCAAGACCTGCGAATTCGATCGAGTGCACCGAGATTGTTCAGGGCTTCTACTACAGCAGCTCAGGCAGAGTCCCAATAATGACCCCCATGTAGCCAACAAGGATCGGCACGCGGCGCCTGAGTAGACATGATGGTCCACGGCAAAGCAAGTGGAACACCTCCTCGATGCCAGGCACAAAGCCCGAACTGATCGCCCAGCAAGCCGGACAGGAGTGTGCCAGCCTCACATGGCAACATACGGAATAAAGGGAAGCGAATCCTCTTTGCCGCTAGCGGTGCTCGTGCTTAAGCGCGCAGCTGCAAATCCAAAGTACCCCACTGATGCAAGCAGCGCCACCTCGAACATGCCTAAAGCTCAGTGCCCCGATGGCGCCCCGTCTGCCCTCGGCATGCGAGGAGCCTGGTCTGTCACAAGCGCCCATTCAAGCCGCCATGCCGTGGTCAAGGGTGAGATCACCTGAAGAGCCGATCCATCCCCTGACACAGCCTCACAGTCACACACTCCGATCTGGTCACAAGGCTCCAGCATCCAGCTCTGCAGCTTCACCTTAGCTTTTCAAGCAACCCCAGATGGCGGCTGCATGCCTCTGCTAGCCGCTGCCACCAAGTCTCTGAAAAAGAAGCATGCGAGAAGCAGCGCCTGGCAGTAAAGACTGCAGGGTTGGAAGATACGTACTTGCATCGAGCCGGCTCCTGCTGCACCTGATAGTTTCCGGCTCCAACTTCCTCGATGAAGTCTAGGACCGCCTCGATCGAGCAACTGGCGGCGAAAAGAAACAACAAACTGCAAATCTGCTGTGTCTGCGCCTGCTGCTGTGCCTGCTGGACATCAGCTTGCCCGGATTGGGCTCGGCGCCTGACACGAGGAAGCAGAACTACAGCAGAATTGCTTCACATCCACTATGGAGGCCTACGCCCAGCTGCTACTACCACCGCCACGTGACCTCATCCTGTTGCTAATATTTCAGCTGCTACCATCTATTTATCATCGTCAACCCCATTGAAAATGGAATCATCGTGGTGATCATAATCTTCGTCTTCTTCTTTGTCATTCTCGTCAGAATTGTCAATGTCGGAAACCTGACGACAACTTATTTCAATTGACACCCGACGCCTCTCGAAGCCCGGCAAAGTTGTGTAGAACGTAATAAAGCCGGAAGCCCAAACTCTGAACCCTCATACGTGAATCCCCAAAACGCCTCACCCTTAACCCAGACTGCCCCTAGCCATGTCCATAAAGCAGCATGTTTTTCAGGGAACACCCACGCTTTCAGGCGAAGCGGCGATGACTTTCTCCATCATCAACCACTTGAGTTTATCATGGCGGCA